AATATCCAGTGAAAACCCATAGAGATCTTTACCAGTGAATCTGATTTGAATACTGATTTTCAGAAGCGGGCTCTCCTCGCTGTCACACATACTGTAGCGAGAGTTTTGTTAGTGTTCAATAACAGTCACCTAGCGGCCTGAACTGTATCTTTACATTCAGAACTATGACCTCAAAACTAGAATGTGGTTGTCGTCGTCGACTCTTCTTCCTTGTATGTGACCGTAGACCTTAGTGGAATATTCAGTGCTACAGAATACATTTATGTAATGCATAATGCATATTACAAAAGTAGAGAGGGACTGGGGAGGGGGTCGTTAAAGGAGATTAGAGTGTTTTTTTTCCCCTTTGCATTTGAACACACACGTACAGATATGAAAAACCCAGCTTACAGTCATGCCTACACACACACACACTAAACACACACCTTCCTTAACTGCTCTTCCACACTGCTGAGCTTTTTTCAGCTCTGTACAACTTTCTATGAGTTCCAACAGACTTGGGATCTGTATTTGTAGATATTTTGAGCACTTGGGGAGGGGGGTTTGGTATCGTTTACACAACACTGGATCTGCTCTGTCACTCCTTGCCTGTACATACCGACTTCTACTACTTGTAAAGGAATCAAACTCTTTGGCACTCGTATAGCCAGCACTATGCAGAAACTGAAAAATTTCTTTGGCATGCTTTGAAATGCAGAATACTATAGAGGAAAATATACTAAATAAATAAAGTCTGCTCTAATTTCTTATGAAAATAATCACCTTATTGGAAATAAAAAAAATAAGATGTGGATGCAGTTGTCCATGGTAAAAATGGATATGATGATGAGGGTGATTAAAGGTGATTAGGATGATGACGCTCAAGACTTTTAATATTGTGCACATTTTTACTTGCATGCTGCACCGAGAATCGTCCAGCAGTCAGAGGGTTTGACGTGCAAAGCAGCTGATTTTTGCTGTATGCTTGCAAACTGTGTGTAGAGTGAAACACTGAATTCTTCCGGGTTACGGGAGAGTCATATTTATATATACATATATATACATACTACTTCCAGGTTATGGAAGAGATGGGTACTGAATAGCTGCAAATATAGTGATCCTGGATGATACAATATTATATTGTATATTTGTATCTTTGGTTGCAAACCACTGTAACGGAGTGATGCATGTGTGGCAGTCCTGGGCAGAACTGTTACCTGTTTCCCAAATATCAAGGAGTGCTTGATTTACCTTCTCCGGCTTATGTTTTTACTGTTGCCTACAAAGTTAAATCAAGCGCATCTAAAATGTTCTAAATCCCACTTTCGCCCAGCTGGGACAGACAACACTCTGAAGACTGACTCTTATCAACACATGTGAGCGCACTTTTGGACCACGTCTTCTTTTCTTCTCAGTGCACAGGGTGTTGAAATCTGTTAGCAATAGCATATCTTTGACAGTTTGCTGAAAAGTACCGAGTAGTGTGACGGCCCAAAAAACTCTCACAAATGTTTTGAGAACAGTTAATCTTTTCAACAGTGTATACTCTACTGCAGTCCCTGGAATATTAACCATAGATTTCTAACACTGGGCTGGCCGATGCAGTGCTTTATTCATATCAAATGTTGAAGAACGGTGGAGGGAAAATGGTGAAGCTCTAGGTTCTGATTGTGTGATAGCATTATCAATGGTTGAACTTTATAAAATTTCAAAATATTTCTTTCAATAAACCTCTTTGAAAGCAAAACGATGATGTCAGGACTCCTTGTGTCATTTAGTCGGACTGTTAAGAGAAGAAGAATGTGTGACTGCACTCACTGTGGAAAAGTGTTTTTTCTTTCTCTTCATATTTTAGTCGTGAAGAACATTTTCTCATGTTTTAAAATGAGGATAAAGTTAGTGATGGCCAAGTGAAGCCTCATGAAGCATTTTCTTTAATTTCACAGCCCACTAGATGGCCCTCATGGTCAAGAGAGAGGCTCAAAGAATGGCAATTCCTTGTGCTTTCAACCTTTTGTTGAACAAAAAGTGCCATCTAGTGGGCTCATAAAATAAAGAAAATGCTTCATGAGGCTTCATTTGGCCATCACTAGATAAAGTCCTATGCTGTGTCTCAAATCGCATACTTCTGTACTTAAACTTAATATATTGAGTGCATAAGTGCGTTTACACTGAGAAGTATGGAAAAATGCAGTGCACTATGAGTACCCAGATGGTGCAGTCAAAACGGTCAAGAGGTTGAGTGTGGAACTATGGACACTTCTTGCCCTCAGTGGTCGCCTTTTGGCTACGTAGCGGAAGGGGAGGGACCACTTTTTAAACTGAAATGGCGGCAGAGGACTGTGCGACAGTGAATGTCGCAGCATTGTACAAATACATGTGTTGTTTGCACTAAGCACCACTATAATGTAAGCCAGCAGTATGTTTATTGGGTTAATTAAGCAGTCAGTAATGATTTGGTGCCTCGAACTTTAACGCGAATGCTAGTTTGCTAACTAGCTAACAGCTGCGGTTGTCATTTCCAGTAAGTGCACAATGGCCGTGTTTGGTTTGAGACAACACTACCCTGTCGAAATTCGCGCACTATGCCAATAAGTACATAGTGCACATACAGTAGTTAGTGATGGCCAAATGAAGCCTCATGAAGCATTTTCTTGGTTTAAAGAGAGAGACTCAAAGAATGGCAATTCAGTGTGCTTTCAACCTTTAGTTGAAGAAAAAGTGTACTAACTAAGTACGTGATTTGAGACACAGCACCAGTCTTGACCACATTGAACTATTATTCCTACATAATATTTCCAGTAGAAACTTCTTTTCTTTAACCTCTTCCTCATAGTGATGGCCAAATGAAGCCTCATGAAACATTTTCTTTATTTCATGAGCCCACTAGATGGCGCTTTTTGTTCAACAAAAGGTTGAAAACACACTGAATTGACATTCTTTGAGCCTCTCTCTTCAAACCATGAGCGCCATCTAGTGGGCTCAGAAAATAAAGAAAATGATTCATGAGGCTTCATTTGGCCATCACTACTTCCTCATAGCCCAACAAACATGCCTTAACTCTCAATAAAATGACTTCAGCTCCTTAAATCTTCCCCATGCATGCCCTTAAACAAAGTCTTTCCACATAGGACACATTTTACAGGTTCTTTAACGCATCACATACAGTCTGAGGTGTCACTGAAACAGAGCAGCAAGCTTGCCTTGGTTTTTCTTGAAGGGTTTTGCAGGTTACCCTAAAGTTCTACTGTTAGATGAAAGTGTTGAAATTATTCCCAAAGATGCACCAGCAGATCCACACTGACACTCCTCTTCACGAATATACCAGACACACTGTGTCACATACAAAGTGTGTGAAAGGAAATCTGTGACGCAAGTCTTATCAAACGTATTAAATCACTTTGTCTACTTGTCTTACTGCAGCCTAGATTTGCGCTGTGCAGCTGTATCGTGTAGAGAGAAGTTAATAATGAAATATTAGCTCAGACTCCATGTTGACAGACACCAGAGGTGTGAGCTTGAGTCACATAACGTTGAACAGAATTAAGTGGGATTTAAAGTTGTCCATCAGCTCTACGTAGAGCCTATGCCACTGTGAAGGGTTTCTGTGATATCCTGTAAAGTTTAGTTGATTCAAAACACACATTAAACACACATTAAACATGGCTTAATTGCTACAGTGTCAAACACAAGTACACAAATCAGCTTCACTATAACTCGCAGCATTCACAGACAAACACTTGTCTTCATCTGGACACATTTTCCCCACATATGCAACATGCTAATGTTATTAGCACAAGTCTATGGCATTTTACATTGTATAAATTAGCCTAGCGTCTACTTCAGGCTGGGCTTTGTGACTTTCCAACAAACGATTCTATAAAACAGTCACTTCAACAAAGGGTCTAACTATGAGGCCCCCTGAGCCTTTGGGCCCCTTGGCCTGTGCCTGATAGGCCCATTTTAATCCCCCCATGGCAGCAGTGAGTGAGTAATAATTAAGGATACCCCCCAACAAGTAAAAAAATACCCGAGGTGACTAGAAGCACACTACAGGCACTTGACGTTGAATCAAACATTACAAAAACTCCAAGATGCTGGACAGAGACAGACGGTGCAGTCATGGGAGCGTTTGGGGAGAGATCCAGAGGGTGGGGCTGTGGATGGTGGGGAGTGGCGACAGGAGAATATATATAATCTGACATCACACACTGGCCGTGATGATGCAAGCTGGAGAAAGAGGAGGCACCCAGCAGCCGGGGAGTGATGTTTGCCATTTCTGTCACAGGGTGTCACTGTAAACCTATGCTATGTGACTGTGACTCATCTTTAGGGTTAAAATGCTTTTGATTTCCCCTCCCAAGTTCTTTACATGAAAAGTTATCTAAATTAAAGAGGGATTTGGAGGATATAATGTGAGAATAAACCAGAAGAATGGGTTTATTACATTATCTGGACATGTGTGTAGCTCATGTTTGTGTCATACTAACTGAATGTCTGTGTCACCAGAGTTATAAACTTATTGTGGTTTGTCTTGAATTGCTTCTGTTTCCAGTTGTGCCTATTTTATTTAAAGAATAATGCAGACAAACTGATCTAACTGTTTCTATGTTTACACCTGGCCTGTGTGTGATACAGGTGAATGTAACCGTGTCAGATCTGGTTTCTAACGGCTGCAGTTTCCGTATTTTCTGTAATAACTCATCCCGGTGACATTCCAGTGATCTGGGCGATATAAGGGCGTCTTCCTGGGCCGTGGCCGTATCCAGAGCCTGTCCCTCCCGGCGATTGGAGCGGCAACGTCCCGTAAAAGGAGTCAAACTTCTCCATTGAGTGTCCACGATGTCTGTCAAAAGTACATTCAGTGACGATTGAGGTCCGCCCCAGGGTTCGACAGCTGTGATTTGACGATACACGCGTCACTCACAAGTCAGCGTCGATTCCATTGGTTGGATTGAAAGACAGTCAGCGAGGTGGAGCTGTGATTGGCTGAGAGCGTCCCCGGGGAGGAGCATGTTAGTCTGAGGCCAGCGGAGTGCTCACTCGGGTGGGCGGATCGTAGCGGTGACAGAGACGCTCGCAGACTCCCGACAAACTGTCAAAAAGCGGACAACTAACGGTGAGTCACGTCTCAATATGGACATTGTGTTGTTGTCGCTGTTTGCGGGGACGTGCGGTGTTTGCAGAGAGCGCGGTTTGGGCGGGCGGACAGCCGGAGTCTTTGTAGCAGTGGAATGACGGTGATTTTGGATGAGTGATCTCACAGCACGCATCACAGCGACGGTGTGGTGCTGTGGGATAATGCTGCCTTCAGGTGCTCCTCGGAAACTCTTACTTTCGAGAAGCAGTGGGGCTGAACGCGCAGTGGCAACGCACTCGCCCTTTTTTAAATTATTAACCAGAGGTGGTTGTTTGCAACTTTATTGCGCCTCTCATCGCGAACACTGGCTGTGAACTTTCACTCTCTCCGTCATATTTACTACAAAGGTGGGCAGGTCACGTGCAGCCGAATATGGCCCTTCCGATATTCCCGACAGCACTTGAGGCAGCATGAGTGAAGTTGCACTGTCACAGCAGACAGGAGCAAAGTTATGCAAGCTAGCTCGGACCTGTGTTGGCTCTGTCCATTCATTTACAGTGTGTTAGCAGGCTGAACAGCAAAGCTACATGTGTTGGGTGTGTGTAGCACATACTGTAGTTGAGCTCTGCAGACTTCTTCCACATTCTTTGTTGCAGTATCACGGTTACTGGATGTGTTGGGAGTAGTGCATTCTTTGTCAGTGCAGTCTGACTGATGACAAATCAAATCTGCAGTCATACAGATATTTCGCCACTGCCTCTGTTATTTTAGCTCTTATCACTGCTTATCATTGGCAGCTTGCAACTGTGGATACACAAAGATAAGCTCTTCACTCTTTCTCCCTTGATACATGCTCACATTAAAGGTTGCATATGATACTGATTTTTAGGTCCGTATTTTTATTTAAGGTTGCTAGTAGAATATGTTGACATGCTTTAAGGTTCATAAAACACATTATTTTTCTTAAACTGTCTGCCTGAATATACCTGTATTCACCCTCTGTCTGAAACACTCTGTTTTAGCACCTGTCTCTTTAAACCCCACTTCCAGTCTGCTGTGATTGGTCAGTGCTTAAAGGTCTTGCACTGTTATGCTCTTGGCATCCCGGCACCGTCACTGCAGCTGGGGGATTACTGTAACAGCACTGTAGCGGCAGTTTCTGCCTTTATATAGTATAGGCTAGTTGTGACATCACAACTTCATGGAAGTCCTCACGGTGCATTTAAAGGCACAGTTTCAGTTTTTCCGAACAGGGAGTCTTTGATACTTTCACAGTATTAATCAAGCATCTCTGACTCTGTACGATATGGTATCTCTAAAATAAAGGGACGCACGATATTAGATGTTTTGTCAATATCTGATATGCCGATATGTAACAACTCATTTGACCCATAACACACACAGATCCACTTTTTTCTTACCTCATTCAAGTGATCATCAAGTCTCTTCTGTAGTGGAACTAACATCATATTGTGCATGGATGCTCTTATCGTGATGGCCCACTAGCAAATGGAGACATGAAATAGAATACTTTTCAATGTATGCAATATTCATTCGTTGTGCAGCAAAAGAAAAAGCATGTTGACCGATTCCGATGATGTGCTGATACTATTGTGGATCCCCACTAAATATTATATTTAAGAGTAAATGTGGTTTTGCGTCTTGGGGCTGTGGCTGAAATTTTGATCTCAAGAATGATATGGTAAATATACGAAAAGTCACATTTTAAATATTCAGAACTGATGATGCTTAGTTAGTTCCTTTGGACTTTTAGGGTGCTTTCACTAGTGATGGCCAAATGAAGCCTCATGAAGCATTTTCTGTATTTTTTAGATGACAATCATGTTTTAGGAGAGGGGCTCAAAGAATGGCAATTCAGTGTGCTTTCAACCTTTTGTTGAACAAAAAATCTAGTGGGCTCAGAAAATAAAGAAAATGCTTCATGAAGCATCATTTGGCCATCACTAGCTTTCACACCTGTCCATTTTGGTTCTGTTCAGTCAAACTCAAGTTTCTTTGCCCCCTCAGTGCGGTTCGTTTGGGCAGGTGTGAACACAGCAATCACACTCAGGTGTGCACCAAAACAACCGGACTGAGACCTCCTACTCAAGATGGTCTTGATCCATTGACAAAGGAACTCTGGTGCGGTTGGTTTGTGGTGAGAAGGTGTTCCGACCTGGATGTGAAGCAACTGCAGTCACATGACACATTGTTTGGGTTAAACATGAGCATGTTACAGTCCTGGAGGATTATTAATGTGCACCTCCTCCTGTACTGCCTTAATATGCACATTCAGCACATCCAATGCATCAAAACATTGTTTTCTAGTTGGAGCCGCGCCTCGTTTTCAAACTGTATGGTTTGACTAAAATGAACAATGACAGCAATATAGTCCACGATGAGCAGCGCTAAAATCAACCTGCGTAGTTGTCCCTCCATTGTGACATTAGAAAGTGTCACATTTATCTTGCAAGTGTACTCTTCTTCAACGTTTGCTTTACTTCCTGGATTTTTCCCACATGGAAATTCTGACCAATCAAGAGCAGCTTTCTCACACAAGGCATTTGATCTGGTCCTCTTGTAAATGCTGCCATGAGGACACGAACCAACTCTCGGCAATTATACAACTTTGGTACAACATTAGTCCCTGATAATGAAGACAATGAGATGCAGTTGAAAGCTCTGGAAAAAGTGTACCTTTAGTTAGTTTTTTTTTTTTTAATCAGCTCCAACTGATGTTGAAAGTGCTGTGTTCCTCTATTATGCAATACATGAAACTTTCATATTATTTGTAAAACAAATCCAGCCTGCATCATTAATTAGGATAATACAATCAAACTATTACAATATGATTCAACTGAATGTTAATAAACAATATGATTTGATTATCACCCATCCATCTAAAACTAATGGTTCACACTCGCATTAAAACATTGTAGAACATTTTGCCACAGAAATTGATGATGTAAAGAAGAATCACAGCAGAGAGGATTGTCGCTCCTCCCTCCCTCCCTGTCTCCCTCCTTCTATCCAGATTACTCTCCAATCCTCCCCTAGCCAGATTACTGAGTGGGAAATAAGAGGTGGGACTGATCTAAGGCCCTGAATTCATTATGGACCTGATCCAATCACATCCCTAAAATGTGCTGTTGCTTGTTGCTTCGCCGTAAGCCCGCCAAAGTGATCAGGTATTAGGCCTGAGGGGTTGACAGTCATCAAACTGGGGACAGCGGTTGCTCACTGCCATACCAGTTTCCCAAGAGTTGCTGACATGACCAGCTACTGTATCTCTGTGTTTCGCACGTTTCACACGTTTCACAATCTGCAGAGATGAAAGAGACTTGAAACACATGCCTCGCTGCCCAGGGATCAAACCCCACCTGAAATGTCTGTTTGCCTTTGGCTGGATCTCTCCCTGCTGCCCCGCTGTCTTTACAGAGAAAACACCAACTTTAGCAGGAGAGCAGATCAGATTAAGTCTTGTATCTCCACCAGAGGCTCTTATTTTGAAGGATACATCCAGTATATCAGCTCATGTAACTTAATTGTACTGTAATAGCCCAGTGTTTGTTGGTGTCAAGCAAAGTACAAGGTCACATCATAAAGTTCAAAACATTTTCCAAGCTGGGAGTGGAGTTGGGAGTCTGACGCTGCACGTCTTCGACTCAGCGGTCTGTATTCAGCTCTGTATGTCGGAGGCAGTTGTGTTACTTCGGGTGCAAAATCAGAAGCTTGGATTGCTGAGAGGAGAAACTACCTTGAAAAGCATTTACTGCGACTGCTTTATAGAAATACCACAGCAGGACTGGTGCCACTAAGAGCAGATATTTCCAGTGATGAAAACGTCTAAAAAAAAAAAAAAGAGGAACATCTGTTTTATTCCACAACTCTTTTATAAATACATTTCAAATTCTACTGCAGCACCACTCTTTCAGTGAACTGAACCTTTACCAGTGTTTAAACGCTCAGCAGCTTCTTTGCCAAAATCAAATACCACGCTCACTAGTTCTATAGTTGTGGACAGTTTGGGATTCTGGGAAAACTCAAGCGTGTTCTGCACTGCAAAGGTAAAATCAGCCTTAACAATAGCCTGCTGTCAAATGGTATAGCTAATGTCGCACTACAGCTAACTACTCACTGAAACTGTCTTTGACTCTCACTGGTACTCTCGACGTTTGCCAGAACTAGACACTGACTTGGCCAGCTGTGTAATAAATGACCCACTTAAGGACAAATTGGACAAATGACCAATTAAGCATGCTTGCCAAAATCTAATGCCAGACATTAACCCTGAGAAGCTTTGTTTAGAGAGAGGGTAATTGTGGAGTTGTGGGGGATGGTTGCCCATGGAAACCAAAAGTGAAAGAAAATACAGCACACAACATGAAACCTCACCCAGTGATCAAGTTTGCTTCAGGAGTGTCTTTAATACTAGAGTCCATGCAGCGACATTTAGACAGTGATATATATGGATGAGTCTGTTTTCAAGTTGGACAGTATTTGGTCAACAGTGAAATTGTGTGGTGCCACTACGAAAACATCTGTATGGAAACCATAGCAACCATGCAGATCTAGATATGCTGTCTTCTATACAAGTGAACATTTGCGGTGCAGTGCCTCATATGACACGTGCCAGGTGCCGCCTCTCGCACACAATGGATGGATCGCGCTGCAGCTTGTCAACAGACGACCATGGAAAGTTATAACTACATTTAGTGAAAGACCTGTACCAGCATTAGCTTAAAATAATGTGTGGAGAGCCTCGAATTAAACTTGATTTCCCACCTGAAGAGTCAATCTCAGGAGTTATGACTCGCCAGTGTCAGCTAACAACAGGAAACTGAGCCTACAGTTCACACGGGCTCACCAAAACTGGACAATAGAAGATTGGAAAAACGCTGCCTGGTCTGATGAGTCTGGATTTCTGCTGCCACATTCAGATGGTAGGGTCAGAATTTGGCGTCATGGATCCATCCTGCCTTGTATCAACGCTTCAGGCTGCTGCTGGTGGTGTAATGGTGTGGGGGAGATTTTCTTAG